GAGGCCGAGGCGGCGGCCCGGGCCTTCGCCGAGCGGCTGGGCGCGCGCGTCGGCGGCTGGGAGGCGCACGAGCGCGGCATCGCGTCCAAGCTCATGGCGAAGATGGGCTACCGCCGCGGCGAGGGCCTCGGCCGGCGCGGCCAGGGCCGCGTCGACGTGCTGCCGACGCCGCCCGTGCGGCGCGGCCCCGAGGGCGAGTTCCCGGGCCTCGGCGTCGCGCCGCCGCCCGAGGCGCCCGTCCTCAAGCGCCGGTCCCGCGGCGAGAAGCGGAGCCGCAGGGCCTACGACCGCGCCGTCGAGGCGGACGCGCGGGGGGACAACCGGACCGTCTTCGACGCCGTGAACCGCGTGACGCGCCGCCGCGTCGACGCGGGCCGCGTCCGCGGCGCCGTCGCGGCCGGCGGCGCGGCGGCCGCGGCCGTCGGCGCGCCGCGCTGGGCCGCGAGCGACGACGGGAAGCGCGACGGAGCGGAGCTGCGGCAAGCCCACGCCGCGGGCGGCGAGGTCGTCGCCGCCCTCGAGGCGCGGCTCCGGGGGCTCACGGAGGCGAAGGCGCGCCAGGCGTCCCACGGCGTCGACGACGCGTTCAAGGCCCAGCGGGACCGCGACATCGCCGACACGCGCGCGCGGCTCGACGCGCTCGTCCACCGCACGGGGAGCCTCCAGCGCGCCATCAGCTCCAAGCGCGAGGAGGGGCGCAAGCTAAAACACGTGTTTTGATGAAAAGGACAACTCCAGCGTCACACCTCAGTTCTTCAACACCACCCCCCACAATGGACTTCCCGTGTGCTTCCTGCGTTCGACGACGCTGCCCACCGCCATCTCCCACGGCCCCGGGGCGGCCCACCGCCATCTCCCGCCGCCCCCCGCGTACATGATGCCAAACATGCACGGCGCGAGCGTGGTCGTGCCGGACGATGCCGTCGAGGGGGAGACGCCGGCGACGGCGACGGCCGTGGACGACGGCGTCGTCATCCAGGGCTACGTGATCGGCGCCGAGCCCGTGGCGTCGTCGTCCCTCGCGGACATGGCGGACCTGTTCCGGCGGCAGCTCAACCTGAGCGGGAACGTGGTCGAGGTCGTCGACGCCGCCTGCGCCCAGCTCGGCGTCCCCGGGAGCGGCCCCCTCGTGGACCGGGCCGCGCGGTGCCGCGCGGTCCTGGACGGGACGGCCGCCGCCGCGACGGCGTCGGCCGTCGCCGTCGAGGGCAAGGCCTTCGACGGCGACGACCTGGCGGCCCTCGTGCGCGAGCTCCCGTCGAAGGCCTGGAGCGGCGGCAAGGACGCCGGCTCGTGGAGCGGCGAGGCCTACGCGAAGAACCCGTGGCGCTTCGACGGCGACGGCACGTTCACGACGGAGCGCGACGGCTGCCACGGGGCCTGGACCGTGCGCCGCGACCTCGATCGCCTCGTGCTCCGCATGGACTGGCGGGGCGCGCAGGAGGGGAACTACGCGGAGTTCGCGCGGCGCGGCGACGCGTTCGAGAACGTCGCGGCGTCCTACGGCTTCATGCGGTCCTGGTCCATCGTCGAGCGCGGCGCCGTCGCGCCGCGCGACGCGTCCCACCTGAACCGGGACCTCAACGACGTCGCGCGGAACTCCGACGACGTGGCGCGCGCGCGGTCCCTCGTCGCCGCGGGCGCGGACCTGTCGTCGACGAACGGCCGCCCCTGGCACCACACGCCGCTGCACCAGGCGGCCTTCCACGGCCGCTACGACATGGCGGCGGCGTTGGTCGAGCTCGGCGCGCCCCTCCGCGCGACGTCGAACCCCCGCGGCCGCGGCGGCGCGGGGACGCCCTTGGACCTCGCGCGCGGCGGCGGCCACGCGAAGCTGGCCGAGCTGCTCGAGCGCGCGGCGGCGGCGCCGGCGCCCGTCGTCCACGAGCGCGTCGGCGGGCTGACCTACGCGGCGTCGGAGAAGCACGCGCGCGCGCGCGGCGGCCGGCTCCCGACGCTCGCGGAGGCGCGGCGGCGCATGGGCGGCAAGGCGCTCTGCCCGGGCGACGACCAGTGGTGCGCCGTCGCGGGGCGGGACTGGGTCCAGATCGGCGACCGCCACCACCACCCGGGCAAGTCGCACGTCGCCGACTGCCACCAGTACCCCCCTTGGGGCGACGACGCGAACAACACGACCTACGGCCGGCCGACGTGGAACGCCTACGCGCTCTACGCGACGTCCGGCGGCGGCGGCGAATTGGACGGGGCCTGGTTCTCCTTCGCGACGGGCGGCGACGCGGCGAACGTCGTCGACCGCTTCGAGGCGCGCGAGGCCGGCGGCCGCGTCACGTTCTACCGCGGGGGCGCGCCCATGGAGTCCTACGCCGTCGAGGGGACCCAGCTCGTCGGCACCGTGCGGGCGAGCGTGGCGCCCGGCGGCGACATCCTCTGGAGCCACGGCTACACGTCGCGGCGCGAGGGCGCGCCCGCGGCGCAGCGCATCGCGCGGCGGCCCGCGACGCGCGAGACCATCTTCGACCCGGCCCACTACGCCAACGGCGGGCCCCGCGGCGACCAGGACGTCGGCGGCGTCGTCTGCGCCTGCGCGCCCTGCATGGTCCTCTGCCCGCTCCAGGCCCTGGCGACGTGCGGCTGCGCGAGCGCCGTCGACGCGCTCACGGCGCTCCCCTGCAAGTTCGTCCCCTGCGCGCCCTGCGACCCCAACGCGATGAACCCGCTGTGGTTCAACTCGCAGGCGCACGGCTGGGCCGCGAGCCACGGCCAGCTCCACACGGTCATGGCGCTCGCGAAGAACGGCGCGAACCTCGAGCAGTTCAACCTCGCGGGCAACAACGCCCGCACGGACGCCGAGCGCGAGCGCCACTACCACATCACCGCGTGGTACGACGACTGGGTCGCGCTGGGCATGCCCAAGGGCGCGGCGCTCCCTTTTTGAGTTTTTTTTCCTCCCCTTGCCTGCCTTTTTTGCGCGATGCGTAATTCCGGTTTTTTTACATGTCCGGACGACGGCGAGGCCGGAGGAGCCTCCTACGGTGGCGACGTACGGGTAGGCCTACGCGTCGGAGGCGTCGCAGGGCGCCGCGGCGCGACGCGACAGGCCTCGGTCGACCGGCGACCGGGGTACGGGTGGTGCGGGCACTCGGCAACTCGAGGGCTCGAGCCGACGCCTTTGACGCTCGAGCCGTCGCCTGCCGCGCGCAGAGCGCCATGGCCTTCAGCTTCGGTGCCGCCGCCCCTGCGCCGGCGGGTGGCCTCTTCGGCGCGCCGGCGGCGAGCGCGCCGAGCTTTGGCGCCGCGGCGCCGGCGGCGGCGCCGAGCTTTGGCGCTGCGCCGGCGGCGGGCGGCCTCTTCGGCGCGGCGCCGGCCGCGGCGCCGGCGTTCGGCGCGGCGGCGCCGGCGCCCGCGGCGGGCGGCCTCTTCGGCGCGCCGGCGGCGAGCGCTGCGCCGGCGCCGCGGCGACGCTCGGGGGCGCGCCCGCCGCGGCGCCGCCCGGCGGCCTCACGGCGCCGAGCGGCCCGCGGCCCCGCGATCTGGGCGCGGACCGCGCGGTGCACGACCTCGCGACGGCCATCGCCGAGCGGCTCCCGAACGGCCAGCCGAACCCGGACGCGCGGCTCGTCACCGTCGTCTACGACATGGCCGACGGCGCCGCGTCGGCCGCGGCGCTGCAGCACGCGCGGCCGCCGCACGTGAGCCCCGAGCTCTGGGCGAAATTCGCGCGCGAGAACCCGGACCCGGATCGGTGCGTGCCCGCGGCCTTGGTGGGCTTCGAGGCCCTGGCCGCGCGCGTCGCCGGCGCCCAGGCGGCCGTGGAGCGCAACGGCGCCTTCGCGGCCAAGATCGGCCACAAGGCGGAGCTGCTGGTGCGCGCGGCGAAGCTCAACGACGCGCTCGGCGAGGAGCTCCGGAGCCGCAACGCGGCTTTGGGTCTGCGGCTGCTCCGCGTGGCGAAGAAGGTCGAGGTCGTCAAGCGCGAGAACGTGCCCGTGCACGGCGAGGAGCGGCGGCTCGCCGCGCGGCTCCGGCGCCTGGAGCAGGAGGCCGCGAAGCCCGCGCGGCACCTCGAGGCGCTCAAGCGCGACGCCGCGCGGCTCGACGCGGACGCGCGCGCGGACGCCAAGGCCCGGGTGGCCGAGGACGACAAGGCCGCGGTCATGGCGGCGCTCGAGGCCCAGCACGCGGGGCTGGCGAAGCTCGTCGACGTCGTCCACGCGGACCTCCGCGACGTCGAGATCATGCGGAATCTGCTCAAGCCCAAGTAACTTGTTCTCGAGTCCGAGTCGGCTGACCTTAGTGAAGACAGGGAGCGCTCTAGCTCGCCGCCCGCGCGCGCCGCCGCGTTCGAGTCGGATGACCTTACGGAAGGCGGGGAGCCGCCCGCGCGCGCCCCCGCGCGGCGCTCTCGGTGCCCGCCTTGTTCGGCCGGCCGCCCTAGAAGAGGGAGAAGTCGTTGGAGAAGGGCACCATGACGTCGCCGGTGTACTTCGGGAAGCCCTCGATGTTCGCGAGGAACGGGACGGAGCCCGGGACCTTGGACGCGGAGATGAGGCCGAAGATGCCGGCCATGGCGGCCCGGCCGTTGAGGAGCTCGGACTTGAGGCCCCGCGCCTTGGCCTCGGCCGACTGGGAGCTCGGCCCGCCGGGGAGCTTGAAGGGGTCCCAGAGGTCGAGCGTGACCTGGCCCCAGCCCGCGCGGCCCGCGATGGGCGGGTAGTAGCCGGGCTTGCCGCCCTTCATGTAGTGGACGTAGCCGTCGGGCGCGCCGGCGCCCTCGCCGTAGGACTCGAGCATGCCGATGAGGCCGAAGATCTGGAGCTTGCCGTAGAGCGGGATGTTGTCCCACTGCTCCTGCGGCGTGCAGCCCGCGACGTAGCCCTTGTAGGGCAGGTACTTGTGCTCGCCGGAGACCAGGGGCGTGCACTGGGCGATGAAGCCCACGAAGGCGGCCATGGCCACGCGGCCGTGCTTGATCTCCGAGTGGCGGAGCCAGCCGACCGTCGCCTCCTCGCCCTGCGGGCCCCAGTCGAACGTCGCCGAGCCGAGGGCCAGCGGGTCCCAGTAGGAGTTCGGCGGGCCGGGCAGCGCCTTCTGGAGCGCCTCGAGGTCCGCCTTCGTCTCGGAAAGGGCCACGCCCGCGGCGGGCGCGGCGGGCGCGACGAACGCCCGGGCGCCCGAGAGCGCGAGCGCGAGGACGAGTTTCTGCATCGTGGTCCTACGGAGGCGGCGCGGGTGAGTCCATGACGTGGGGGGATGGGGACGGGGGTCTCCGAGGGCGGCAGGGGGGAGTGGCAGGAATTCGGTCCGGCTGGATCGATTTTTCGCTGCAGCGCTGCGCGCGGGCGTTCGGGAGCGCCGATGCGGCGTCCAGCGGCACTGGCTGCGCCGGCCCGTGCACCGGCGCGCTCCCGTACCCGCGAGAGCATTGCAAACGATCGATCGGACACCCAGCCGCCGTGGAAGAGGCCATAATCACCTTGTTGAGTCGATGGATCGACAAGCTCGAAGCCGGATCCGCGACTGCTCGTAGCGGGTGTTGAGCCTGTTGAACCGACGCTGCCCCGGGCGATCGCGATGGAGTGGACTTGCTAGCCTTCTCCCTGCCTTGCCTGCCTTAACGCCTGCCTTGCTCGCCTTCCAAGCTGCGCGCAGGCGTGATGGACGAGCTCGCGGAAGCGATGATGAACCGCCTCTTCGACGGCATCGACGCGCGCGTCTTCGGGGGCCCTCACTACATGACGGCCTGGAAGCGCTTCAGCGTCTCGGACCACCTCGCCGCCACGGCGCTCGACGACTGGGTCCCGGACAAGGAGAAGGGCAACGCGTGCTTCGAGGCCAAGGACTACGCGCGCGCGCGCGCGCACTACGAGCGGGGCGCGACGCTCGCGAGGAGCCCGCTCAAGAACGGGGCCACGAAGGCGTTCCAGCGCGCGCTCGCCGCGCGGCCCGCGGCGTCGGCGGCGCGGCGCTTTGCCGAGTGCAAGGACCTCTACCAGCTCGTGCTGCAGTTCCTCCTCGCGCCCACGCACGACCGCACGATGACGCTGGGGGACACGCGGGTCAAAACGCGCGCGCCGAACCGGGGCCTCGCCATCTGCTGCGCGAACCGGTCGGCCGCGTGGCTCCTCGACGGAAATTTCGAGGAGGCGCTCACGGACGCGCGGCGCGCGACGGACGCGGACCCGGGCTACGTCAAGGGCCACCGGCGCGAGCGCGCCGCGCTCCTGAAGCTCTCCCGCGTCGCCGAGGTGCGGGAAAAGGACGAGGAGCTGGCGATCTACGACCGGGCCAAGGACGCGTACCCGGCGGAGTCGCTCGCGCTCATCGCCGCCGGCTGGCTGAGCTTCGAGCGCGCGTCGTTCATCTACGGGCCCGTCCGGTTCGACGCGTGCCTCGAGGAGCTCCGGGCCGGCGGCGGATTTCGCAAATGCGAGGCGCGGCCGTCGCTCGTGCCCTTCCAGGGCGGCCAGTGCCTCATGCTCTCGCTCTGCTACGGCTGGCCGCGGGACTTCTGCGTGCAGTGCGTCGACTGGGTCCTCGTCGACGCGGAGCACGCGGACCTCGCGGAGCGGCCGCCCAACGGCACCGCGTCGGCGATGGCGCTCGAGCACGCGCCGACGCGCATCGCCAACTTCGTCCACGAGGTCGACTCCTACGGCTTCGACGTCGTCGCCGTCATGCTCGGCCAGGGCCTCACGGAGCACGTCGACCTCGTCGATCGGAGGATCCGCGAGGGGTCCGACGACATGGACGTGCCGCCCAAGGCCGGCGTCCTCGTCTACCACGCCTCGTCGACGGCCGCGTCCGAGGACAGCGGCATCCCGCCGAACCCGGACCCGCGCCAAGACGCCGCGCGCGAGCTGCGGCGCCCGCGGCCGCCGCCGGCCCAGGAGGTCGACTAAAAAAGGGGGGGCACGGACAAGTTAAAGGGGCGGCGGCGCTCGGCGGGGGAACTTGGTCGCGGCGCGCGCGAAGGAGGGGGCTCACGGCCCCATGGCCATGATGGCGCCAGCAAAAGCGCCAAGAATATGGAAGTCCGGGTCGACGCAGAGGCTCAGCTTCGTCTTCTCCGGGAAGTGCTTGACGTGGTCGCGCGACATGCGGCGGTGCCAGGAGCCGTGCGCGTGGTCGACGAACTTGTCCCACGAGTAGGCCCAGAGCTTGTCGTAGTAGGCCCAGTAGGCGTCGTCGCCCGTGGCCTCGGCGAGCATGGCCGCCGTGCCGATGGACTCGCACTGGACCCAGAAGATCTTGTCGTGGTTGCAGACCGCGCCGTCGAGGTCGATGGAGTAGCAGAGCCCGCCGTCCGCGTCGTCCCACGCGTGCTTCGTCGCGACGTCGAAGAGGTAGCGGGCCTTGGGCACGAACCAGATGTTCGGCGCGTACTTCTGCAGGGTCAAGAGGAAGCGGGCCCACTCGACCTGGTGGCCCGGCTGGAAGCCCCAGGGCCGGAAGATCGTGAGCGCCTCCGAGTCGTTCGCGAAGTCCAAATTCGGCTTCCAATCTTCGTCGAAGTGCTCCCAGACGAGGCCCGACGTGAGCCCCGCCTGGCGGTTGCAGCAGCGGTCCGCGACGAGCACGGCGCGGTCGAGGAAGCGCGTTTCTTTCGTCGCCTCGTAGGCGGCGATGAGCGCCTCGCACGTGTGCAGGTTGCCGCTCTCGGACCGGTAGGGGTCGACGACCCAGCGCGCGTCGGCCTCTTCGGCGTAGAGTTCGTGCGTCGCGTCCCACATGTGGGTCTCGAGGAGGTCCCAGGTCTCGTCGAGGTAGGCCCGCGCGGACGCGACGCCGACGCGGACCGCGGCCGCGTAGGCCAGAAGCGTCTGCGCGAGCGCGTAGGTGAAGATCTTCGACGACGTCGGCGCGCCGTCCTTGACGACCCAGTGGTAGGCGCCGTTCTCCCGGTTCCGCAGGGGGCCGTCGCAGAGGTACTCGACGCCGTGCTCGACGGCCGCGAGGTACTCGGGCTCGCCGAGGTGCTCGTACGCGACCGCGAAGGTGAAGACGAAGCGCGCCTGGGTCACGAGCACGCGCGTCGACGCGTCGTAGACCGCGCCGTCCTCGGCGAAGAAGTGGAAGTAGCCGCCCGCGGGGTCCACGCAGCGCTCGGGGCTGAAAAATCGCATGGAGTGGGCCATGCCCTCGCGCAGGAACTCGACGCTGCGGATGTTCGGCGGGAGCGGCGGCGCGGCGTCGCTCTTCGCCTTCTTCGCGACGCGGCCGTCCGCGCCGACGACCGACGCTGACATTTCACAGAGGTTGCACGCGCCGGCTGCAACACCTCCACGGGAGAGCAGAACACGGCTCGACTCGGAAAGTGCATTGTGCAACATTGAAGGTTCAACATGTCCGCGCAAACACGATGCTTCCGCCGCGCGCGCCGTCGTCCCGGCCGCCCGCGGAACCGACCAACCGCCGCGAGAACAAAAGCCCCCTTAGAAGATCGCGCACTGGCCGCAGACGCGGCGCCTGTCGGGCGCGGGCGCGGCGTCGGGCGGCGGCGGCGGCCGGTCCGCGGCGCCCCCGCCGTCGGCCGCGGCCGTCTCCGGCGGCGCCGCGGCGTCCTCGACGGCGACGTCCTCGGCGGCGATGGCCGCCTGCTCCTCGGGCGTCGCGTCGCGGACGCGCGCCTGCATCGCGCGGAGCGCCGAGACCCACTGCGCGCGCTCGTCGGCCGTCGCGGCCCGGAGCTGGACGTTGCCGTCGGCCATGCGCAGGGCGAAGGTCGCGACGACGCCGTCGTCGTCCGCGTCGCCCGCGCCGGAGCCGACGACCTCGACGGCCGCGACGTCGTAGGCGCCGAGCACGGGGCTGCCGGGCTCGTCGGACGCGTAGTAGCGGAGGTAGTGGCCGACGGCGACGAAGAAGCGGAGCTGCCAGCCCGCGAAGGCCGACGACGCCTTCTTGTGGAGGTAGCCCGCGGCCGCCGCGGGGCAGCTCGCGCGCGGCGCGACGAGCATGGAGTCGCGGTACTCCT